AAAAAGGAACTTCCTCAACCTGATAAAGGGCATTTAAGGAAAACTTACAGCTAACACTATACTTACAGTGAAAAACTAAATGCTTTTCCCTTCAGATTGGTAATGAGGCAGGGATATATGCGCTAACTTTTTCAATTCATCATTCTAGAAGTCCTACCCTGTGCAATAAAGTAAGGAAAATAAAATGCATACCCACTGAAAAGAAGTAAAATTATCTTTATTCATAGATGACATGATTTTTGACATACATGTAAAAGAAGGGCTGAAAATCAGTACATAACCATCCATCTTAGGAAGTCAAAAAAAAAAAACAAAAACAAAAGAACCAGCATGCTGACTCTAAGAAAACATAGGAGGAAGAATAGGATTTAATGGAATGGGAAAAAAATATGCACTAGGAAGGATAAATAATGCTATAGTGGTTTCATTAAAAAAGACTTGTAAGACTGATAAACTCTGGTATCAATTTAATAATTAATTAAATTCAGGAACTGTTAAACTATTAAATTCAAATTATTAAAATCAGGAATAAAAATGAGGACATCACTACGGGTATTAGTGATATTAACAGACAATTTTATCACCTCTAATTTCAATATATTTGAAAATTTAGAAGAACAAGAAAAATTCCTAAAATTGTACCACTTAACAAAATTGACACTAGGAGAAACAGAAAATCTGAAAAGTCAAAAATCAATGAGAGAAACTGAATCCAGAATTTAAAAACTCCCTATAAAGAAAACACTAAATCTAAATTCAGCAAACTCTATCATGTTTATGGAAGAAATTGTGTCAAACTTATACAAACCTTTTCTGAAAATAGAAAAAAAGGAAATATTCCCCAACTCACCTTTGGAAACCTGAACAAGCTAATGCCTTCTAAGGATATTAGAAGAAAAAACAAAACCCTTTTCCTAAATAAAAAGATATTAAACTAAAAACAATAATATATAAGGACAATAATACATAACAACAAAACTGGTTTTATTCTACAATGCAAGATTGAGTTTATGTTCTAAATTCACCACATTAACATAGGAAAAAGAAAAGTTACACAATCGTCTCAACAGATACAGAAAAAAGTATGATAAAATCCAACATACATTGATGATAAATACTCAAAGAAGAAATAAGAGGGAGTTTATTTTTTAAAAACTATCTATAGAAGCACATAGGAAATATCATAATTATGATGAAAGGTTAAACATTTTCTCTTTACAATTGGGAATAAAAAAGGTTCTCCCATGTGATTGCCCCTGTGGGTCAAAGGAATCTCCAGAAAAATTATTACAATTAATAGGTAAATTCAGCAAGGTTGCTTAATACAATGTCAGTATACAAAAATCTACTGCATTTCTATACCAGGGGCACAGAAAATGAAAAATGGTAAAAGCACTATCAATTATAAGAACATTTTAAAAATCTAATATTTGGGAATAAATTTAACAAAAGATAAACAAGACCTCTACACATAAAACTATGAAAGAGTTATGATAAAGAAGACCTAAATATCAAGATATATTACGTTGATGTATTGAATGAGTGAATCTCATAAAGATATTAATTCTCTCCAAATGGATTTATAAATTCAATACAATAGCAGGTGAAATCATAACAGGTTTAGGTGGCAATTGAGAAACTGATTCTAAAATTTACACTGAAATTCAAAGGGACAAGAATAGCCAAGATGTACTTTAAGAAGAATAGGTGGGAAGATTTCGTCTACTGAATATTAAGTCTTAATTATAGAGTGATAGTAATTAAAACATAAGGCTAAATAACTAAATCAATGGGATCAAACAGCCCATACACAAACCATCACACATACGAACATTTAAATTAGGACAAAGGTGGTACTAACAAGCAATGGAGAAAGAATAATCTCCCTAATAAGTAATGCTGTACCAATTTGGTATGGCATGGCAGAAAAAATTGAAAATGGACTTATTTCTCATTATAAAGAAAATTCAATTCTAGGCAAATTATAGATTTAAATGAGAAGGATAAAACAATAAAGCTTCTAGACAAAATCAAACAAAAATATCCTCATGATACCAGAGTTAGGGGAAATTTCTTAAACAGGACACAAAAATATTAATCATAAATAACACTATTCATATATTAGATTCCACTGAAATTAAGAAATGCTCAATTTCAAAGATAGGAGTGAAAGGAAATTGAATATTTGTAATACATATAAGAAAGGTTCATATCAAAAACAGACATGGATCCCTACAAACCAATTTTTTAAAAAAGAAAATCTAATAGAAAAACATGCAAGAGTTGAACAGGCACTTCACAAAAAAATAGAAATGAGTAACAAACATAGAAAAAGCTGTTCAAATGTCATAGTGATTAGGGAATGCAAATTAAACACAGGAAAGACTACCACACACACATCAAAATGGTTAAAGTGAAAAATATGAAAAATATTAAGTGCTGGCTAACAGCAGTCCCCAACCATTTTGGTATCAGGGACCAGTTTCAAGGAAGACAATTTTTTCATGGATAAGGGTGAGAGGAGGGAGAGCTCAGGTGGTGATGTGAGTGGTGGGGAGCGGCTCTAAACACAGATGAAGCTTCACCACTCCCCTGTTGCTCACCTGCTATGCAGCCCCCAGTTCCTAAGTTTCATGGAAGACAATTTTTCCACAGACAGAGGTGGGCATGAGGCAGAGCTCAGGTGGTGATGTGTGGCCCAGTTCCTAACAGGCCACTAACAGGCCACAAACCAGTACTGGCCTTGGCCTGGGGGTTGGGGAGTGCAAGGCTAGGATAACAGTTGTGTATAAGAGTGCTCCTTGCTCCATATCCTAGCTAACACCTAATATTTTCTTTCTTTTTCACTTTAGCCATTTTAGTAAATGTGTATCAGTCCTAGACTTAGGAAAACATTTTAACATTGTCTACTAAAGCTGACGATAAACATATTCAAAAATTCTACTTTTAGTTACATTCAACACAGAAATGTTTACAATGTACACTAAAATTAAAATATAAGAATGTTCATAGCGGAATTACTTATGAAAACCGAACACTGGACACAACCCAAATGTCAATCAACAAATAATAAATGGATAAATCATGATCTATTCATTCAACAGAAAACTACACAGTAATGAAAATGAACAAACTATAGGCAAATGCAATAACACTGATAAATTTCTCAAAATAATACATATTGTATAATTGACTAAATTTACATAAAACTCAAAAGATGGCAAAACTAAACTACAGAGTTTAGGAATTTAAACTTGAGTGGTATGACTATAAAAGAAAGCAAGGAAGCGGCTTCATAAAAGTCAAGATAGTAGTTACCTTAGGGAGGGGAAGTTATAATGATTGGGAATGAACATGCAGGATGTTTCTGAAGTGCTGGCAATGTTCTATTCCTTGTCCAGGAACATAGTTACAAGGGTGTTCAGCTTATAAACACCTTCTACATTTCTGTTTTGTGCAATTTTCTGTGTATTTCACATATATAAGCATAAAAAGTTATCTAACCAAAATTAGTATAAAACTTTTATATAGTTTAACATAAAACATTATATAATGATTGTATAACTTTTTTTTTTTTTTTTTTGAGACAGAGTCTCAATTTGTTGCCTAGGCTAGAGTGAGTGCCATGGCGTCAGCCTAGCTCACAGCAACCTCAAACTCCTGGGCTCAAGCAATCCTGCTGCCTCAGCCTCCCAAGTAGCTGGGACTACAGCATGTGCCACCATGCCCGGCTCATTTTTTTCTATATGTTAGTTGGCCAATTAATTTCTTTCTATTTATAGTAGAGACTATAGGTCTAGCTCTTGCTCAGGCTGGTTTCGAACTCCTGACCTCGAGCAATCCGCCCGCCTTGGCCTCCCAGAGAGCCAGGATTACAGGCGGGAGCCACCGTGCCCAGGCGATTGTATAACTTTAATTAGAGGACAGGGAAATGAGAAGGCTGACCATGGAGGGTGGGAAATGAAGGATGGGAATGGCACACAGAGTGTGGGAGCTTATCTTCCATAATGAAAACAAACAGCGCCTAACACGGAAAATCAAGCATATCGTATGAGAATGTTAAAGTAAGAACCAAATAATCAGCTATGAAAGATAAAAGTACTTATCTTGGGGAAGGATAAAATTATAGCTATGAAGTTGGGAACCAATTTTTTCTAAACAAGTGTTGTAGAACTATTCTTTGACTCATTTAACTTAAAAAAAAAAAGTGAAAAAGAAAACGCTACGATGTCACCACTTATAAGCAAAACCTTCATCAACACATCTCTTGCTTACTCATTTCTATCATATTCTGTGAGAGTCAGCATTAATTCTTGGCCTAAAGGAAAGTTTTCTAAGCAGACAAGACTCCCCAACTCTCATGATTAGTTCATTTGCCAGTCTGAAAAGCAATATAAAAGATACAGGCAGAAATACCTAAGTACACTAATTATACCTGAGAATATATGTAAATAATTAAGAAAGAAATAAAAAAAGACAAAAATTCTCTTCTATCCCTTAATGAAAAACAAAGCTAGAGATGAAAGTTAAGGTATATAATGGTTTAAATAAAAAGATAAAAAGAACTGTTTAACAAGGATTACCATTTGTGAATCACAATGCATAAACTGCTGGCAAATGGCAGGAGATGAGCTAAGGTATGTAACTATGAATTTAAACATTCCCAAATGTAGTTAAAAAATAGGTATAACTTTTACACTGAAGATACATACAATTAAAACACTAATGCTGTCAAGTTAAGGTGCCTCTAATGCATAATGATGAGGCCAAAGACAGCACAATAAAATTATATGAAATATGCTCATTTATCAATTTCTAAATAAATCTGATTTATTTTTAACTGACAGCTTAATTATCCATATTTACATCTGGAATATAACAACTTTTCTCTCTTTTAATAATCTGAGACAAACAAAATGTTATAATTATACATTAGCTATGGCTCCTCAGTTTCTAGAGCTGAAATGTCATGTCAATTACTTAATAAGATTTAGTTTTACCTTGTTTAATCTGTCCTTGCACAATATTACTGGCAGTTGGAGGGGAACCCCTTGCCTTAGAAAGGTCTGGGGTGCTTGGTCTAGGAGGCCTTCAAAAAGAAGAAAAAAACACATGTATATATACTTTCACATTTTCATATATCCAGAATGATTTAAAATACTAAATTTTCTTGTTCCAAATGAATCACAAAAGAAACATAGAACATTTTAAATTTACTGTTCCAAAAAGATGGGGTTTTTGGCTTTGTACCTATTAACATTTTCCATTTCAAATTTGAATATGATACAATAAGTAAATGCTTAACAAGTAGCAATTAAAAATTTTACATCTACACCTTATGCTTTATATTAGTTTAAGAAAGATTTACGAACACTCCAATGCACTACATTGACAAATATACTTAGTAGTCTTTCACTCTTCAATATTAGCATGCTGAGATTTCAGCCTACCTACCAAATATCATTTGACCAAACGAATTCACAGAAAGACACACTGAGTTTAAAAGTATTCATCCCTGAAGCCTGAAAAAGTTAATGAGGCATTAATAAACCTTGGACACTAGAGGCAAATGTCTCAGCTTTGAATTCTGGCTCTACCATTTACTAAGTGTGTGACCTCGGGCAAATTACTTCATCTCTCTGTGCCTCAGTTTTCTTATCTGTAATGAAGGGATGATAAAAGTGCCTACCTTACAAGGTTAAGAGCGCTAATGAGTTAGTTTTTGTGAAGTGCTTACAACAGAGACTGACATGAAGCAAATGTTAGCTACATAAATAGTTGTCAGATTAAAAAAAATTCTTGATACGGCCCACTCTCAATAGAGAATATAATAAAAAGATGTCTTCATAACTTTGGGAAATAGGAAATAGCAATTCAGGCTAAGTATTCTAGAAATATTAAAATAGTATTCTCCTGCATTTAAAAAAGTTGTTTTCTCTTTCCCTATTGAAAAATTCTGACTATACTTCTCACACAATTCTGAAGACAAATCACTGAACACATATCGTTCATTACATATGAGTAGCAAGAAGCAGTACTTTAACCAAATACATATCTTGAGTTGAATGTTAATGCAAACTTCAAGTAGATCCACTTTTACCATGATACTTACTCAAGAGCTAGTCTATATGACCAATTCTCTCATTCCAAATCCTTTTTATAAATAGCTAAGTATGTCAATGTACGTACAATAAAACCATATAATTTTATTATGTTTTAAACCAGGCATTTTGAAGACTTGTGTTTTAAAATTTAAAGCGAAAATGCTGAAACACAAAAAGGCTAAAGTGCATAGAGTTAAAAGAAAAAAAGATAAAGTAATAAACAATCACAAAAATAAAACAGATTTCTTTTTTGTAACTTAACAATAAAATCAAACTATCATGGTCACACCTGGTAGGGCCCTTCTTCATATGATCACCAATAAAAGTTGCATTGGTCATACTCATTAAGGTATTTGCCAAAGAAATGATAGACAGGAGATGCTGTGTGGTGACAGCCCGGGACACTCCGTAAGTTCCCTTTCCTATTCCTTCAGTCGCTGGCAGCTTCATTCCCACTTCTGTTCTCTCGTGTGACAGTTTACAAGCAGGCTGATTATAACCAGGAAGCATCAGCGACATATGGCCTCCTCTCGACAACAGACCAAACGACACGGTGCAGTGGGGTTTCAGCATTCCAAGGCGATCGAGGCAAACTTCATCCAGGACTTCATTCAAACCCCAGGCATGAAGGCAGGACATGAATAACTTTGCAGTGTCCATAGTTAAATTATATTCCAGTAGGGTCAGTGGCTTAGATTTGCTGGCCCGATATTCAGGATCACTTTCTTCCCTTCTCTGCCTCATCATCTCCTCATCCTCCTCTTCATCATCAAGAAGGTGTTCCTTTATGTTCTCTTTGATAGTTTCTTTCACTTGTTGGAAGAGAACTGCGGCTCGTTTTCCAGTTAGAAAAGAGCCCCCTTTGTCTGAACTGCCAGATGCTTTTTGCAAATTCTCTGGGGAAATAAGTGCAGTATTTGGCCTAGAGGCTTCTTCAGTCAGGAGTTGAATAATCAACGCTTCCACATCAAAGAAAAGCACATGTATGTCTGGGTCTGTTAGGTTTGTCTTTATTGCTTGAACCATCAGGGAGTTATGAGAATATTTAGGTAAATTCCCCTGAAATAAATATTTTTTAAAAAGATAGTTATTATTCAAAGTATTTAATTCCATATGCTCATTAATGAACAATAAATAGAGGAATTATAGCATTAAAAGTAACACATTAACTTTGCCAATCAACAGCATGCAAAACATATGAGAATATACAGTTAGAAGAACTTTATGCAGAAACAATCTAAAATTGCTAATTAATTAAAAAACAAGGAAATAAATGTTTATTATTGAAGGAGGGGGGGGTCTTTTATTCATAGAACAGATTAAGATTTGTTTCAATAACTTATCAGCAAATTCTATCTCTGAGAATGAACTACTGCTCCACCTGAACGAATAATCTGCTTATCATGACTACTGATCCTTTTAAGTTACTGCACTGTCAAATCTCTCCTTATTCTATTTCACCTTCATCTCTCCCTAATAAAGTGTTATCCTTTGACCATGTCCCCTTTTCTATTTCTCTCCCCCCTCTATCGTCCTTTATCAAAGTTACTGAGAATAGTGGACTAAGCCAATGGAAACTCTTCAGTCCCTCTTCCTCAATCTCTGCAGTATGATGTGACATTGTTGTTTTAGCTGAGAGACAATGGTGGTGGCAGGGGGAACAAAAAGAAAGAATAAAAGCCGCCTTTCCAAAATCCTGGAAACACCCTCCTGGTGAGCACTCTAATTCTGATCATCCTCCCTCTCAATCAGCTGTGCTGATAACTTCTTCCCACACAGGAACCATCACATATATGTGGACGGCTTCTTAATTTCCATCATCAGCCAGACCGGCCTCCTAAAGGAGTTTCAATCCTGTATCTCCGATTCTTTGTAGCTGAATATCCCATAGCACACATCATAGATTTAACATGTCCTCTTCTCTGCCCTCTAACTAACCTGCAATACCTCCTGAATCATCAGTTGGAAATCATTCCTCTTCCCTTCTATCTCACTGTCATGACAGAAGTTTGGACCCTTATCTTTATTCCTCAATACAGCTTTCACCGCCCTCGTCTCATCTTACGCCAACATGTGTGACGCCCACAGTCACAGACTTATTTCTAATGTGACCATGTCACTCTTCTACCAAAAGATTTTCATTATCATGGATTATTAAGAGAAATAGAAAGTAAAAGTTCTTAACTAAATCACAATATAGGTTAATATCTGATCTTGAGATGAGAAAAGACTTTTTAACTATATTTAAAATTCACTACTGTAAAAAAAAAACCAAAATGTTACACAGCAAGTAAGAAGAATAAGCCTGGCACTGTGGCACACCTATAGCCCCAGCTACTCGGAAGGCTGCGGCAGGAGAATCACTTCAGTCTAGGAGTTCCAGGGCAGTGCACTATGATCGCACCACTGCACTCCAGCCTGGGTGACAGAGCGAGACCCTGACTCACTCACTCACTCACTCAATAAAATTATTTTAAAAGAAAACCCAAATATCTAACAGTACAAAAATAGGCAAATAATTTAAGAATAGCCATATAATAGAATAAGTATTGCAGTCATTAAAATCATGATTTTGGGGCACATTTAACCACATAGCAAAATGCTAATGTTCCAACTTAAAGAAAGATAAAACTATACACACATGCATATGCACACACATACCCTTGGGTATGGTTCCAATTTTATTTATTTAATGCTTAAATATATATATATACATACATATATATATATGCATGGCAAAAAAGGCTGAGAAAAAATATGAAAATATTAATAGTAATTACATTTTCATGACAGAATTATAAAACATTTTGTTTGAATTTATATATAGTTAAGTTGTATATAATCAACATATATTATTTTCATAAATAGAAAATAAAGTTTTAGAATAAAATGTAAACTCCTTCAACACAACATTCAAGGTCCATTACAGTTTGATACCAAATATTTTCCCAGCTTTAACAAATAGGTTCTAATATCATAACTATGGTCCCTCACATATAAAATCCTTCCACTTATTCCTTTGCTCAAAATATTCTTCTTTTATTCTTCTCTAATCCCTTTTCTTCAAGACTCTAATTCTGTCACTCCACAATATGTATTTATATCAAATCATCACATTGTACATCTTGAATATACACAATTTTTGTCAATCATACCTCAATAAAGCTGGAGTATGGGGGGAGAGCAACTATTACTCCCAAGGAACATTAATGCACAATGAATTCAGCTCCCCTAACATTTTTTTACTACTATGTATTACATATTTGTAGTCTCTGCCATATTTACATAATTAGTTGTTTTATATATTTACATGTTCCTGTACTCTATGAGACCATTTCCAAATCAGGGGCCTAACCACATTGTACTCATCTTGTGTAGTCTTAAACCTATCAGAGAACCTAGCAGAAGGAACCAAGAACATTATAAAAATGTTATAAAATTGTTTTAAATTGCTTATCAAATCTTCTGTCATAAAATCACAACAAATCCCCTTAACTGGTTCATTCTCCTCCCATCTGATGTTTCTTTCTAGCTTAAGAGGCTTCAACAGCATTTCATAACCCAAGGATAAATCCAGACCTCTTTGCAAAGCACATAACTTCCTCCAGGATACATTGCTGCCTACCACTCCAATTTCATCTCTGCCCATAGCCCCTATAACGTCTATTACCAAATCAAACCACTTGTACTTTACAGAGCCACAAAGTTTCAGACAACTGTATCTTTACACATGCTATGCCAAGATCATAATCCTTCCTCAGTCTCCTGACTGCCACTCAAGTCCTACATACTTCTACCCCCATCCTTCAGGAAGTAATCTCAAGTGGCTCCTTTTTCAAAAATTACTTAGTAATAAGATCTGCTTGAAGAAGTCTATCTCCTATGTATAAACTCTAATATTTCTAAACTAGAGTTAAACAATCTAAGGTGCATAATATACATTTATACAAAATAGTAAATATGAAGTTATAAATATGAAGTAAAAAAAGACTTTCTGAATGTCATTCCTATATTTACTTTCCTTTTCATTGATATATAATAATTTATATACTTATGGAGTACATAAGAGTGTTTGTTTCATTCCTGTACTTCATTCATTCCTCCATTAACCTAACCCCTATTATGTCCTTTGTGGGCAAGGCACTGAGGATACAGGTATAATGGCGAATAAGATGATTTTTCTAGCCATGGAACTCACAACTAACAGATAAATTATGTGTAAAAAAGTTATTATAATATAATATGAATGGTGCTATAAATAAAAGGACACTTCAAGGTACTACAAAGGGACACAATAAAGGAAGTACCAACTCTACCTTGGGTGACCAAAGAGAGTATCATGGAAGGTGTAACTTGAGCTATGAAAAAGCACTCCTGGCAGATAGATGGCAGGATGTGAAAAAGGACAAAGGCAGGAAACATCACAGGATTGATGTTGATGAAACCACAGGTGACCAAGATAAAGAATGTAATAGATGGTTCATGGAGAGCACTGAGGGCCACACTAAGGCTTTTGAACTGTCTCATACAGGTTTGGGAGCAGTAAAGCAGTACTTTTCTCAGAATCATCAGGGGTGCTTGTTAAATATAAGTTCCTGGGTCTGATATCAGAACCGAATCAGTATCTCTGGGAATGTGCCAGAATCTGTCTAATGAGTACCCCAGATGACTTTTGCAGTAAAGTTTGAGAGCTACTGTCTAAAAGACTTTAATAAGGAGAGTTACATGATCAAACTTAATCATATAAACATTTATCCACCAGCAATGCTGGCTGAAAAGGAGCAAGATCAGAGTCATGAATATGAAACAGAAGGCAAGAGAAGTCACCCAGATGAGGGAAGATGAAAGTATGCAATAGCACCAAGAATGTATTATAGAAGATAGGATGGATTGAAGAATGTGTGCAGATTACCCTTTTATTTCTCACAGCACTATGCATTATATTTGCTTTCTCAAACATTGAATGTGTAATGTCAAACACTATGTTTACTGCTTTGTACCTACCAACACTAATTTGGATAAATGATACATAACATTGTATGTAATGTTATTGATATGAAAATTATAAATAATGATAGCTACCACATACAAAGCTGTTGCTATGGCCAGGCACTATGCTAAGTATTACGGTTGGTGATGTCACACCAAAAGATAAAATATCATCTTGTATCAATATTAGTTAGACAAACCTGACCCCAGGTATGATGGAATAGTTAGCTAATAACAGCATTAGATAAAACAAAGAACCCACCACAGTACTTTGGCAGATACTGTCTTTCCAGTGAAGATGTGCAAAATTCTTTTAGGAGAAAGACAGAGACCATTACTACTAAAGACTGTAAAAGCAAACGTTTGGTAAAGAAATTATTAAAGCAGCAAGAGTGGCTTACAGAAAAAAGCAAGTGTGAGGGGATACAAGACTTTTAAGCTCTCTCATTTGATGGCAAGCACACGTGTGCCTTTGAGCAACCCCAGATCTGCCCATAATTCTGTCTTTTCCTGGGAGGTGTACCAGCAGACAGCCCCTGTGCTTGGACACTGAAAGGTCATCTAGTGTCTGGTATATAATATCTGGATGAGATTGTGTGTGACTCCTCTTATCACAACCTCTTCAGTGCCACTGATTGGGTCATTGTGACAAAAACAGTACCTAACAGCAATGCACAGGAAAAAAAAAAAAGAAACATTAAAAAAAAAAAAAAGCAGATGAGAACAGGAGGAGACTGAAGGGGAGAAAATGACTAATCCCCAAGTCCTGTCAATGAGCTGTAATTTCTGACATCACACCAAGTCCTCCATAACTTATATCTTGACAATGGATTTTACTTTAACCTACCAAAGTCCTGTTATAACAAAAACAGACATTCAGCAAAGTTGTGAGGATAATATTTTGGCTAAATGTATGGAGATGGCTGAGTTAATCACTGACATGTCTAATATTCTAATACATTACACTAAGATTAGCTACAGGAAAATGAACAAAAGCATCTATCAAACCCAAGGGTCTCTTAGCTTGTTCATAAGATATACATATCCAGAGCAAACTCATTCATTCAAAT